CGTTCGTGTGCTGTCCCTAGGGGGTATTAAGGTCAAAATAATTGATTCAAACAACCATGGGGAAAGCATGACGTTTTATTATGTTTTGAAAAAGTGCAGTTTAAAAATCTTTTTACAGTGGCCATTTGAGGTTTTATTGGTATATTTTACGACCGCTTGTTTCGTCCATCAACCAGAATCATTTTCAGTAATGAGAGTCGATGCCAATCACTGATGGATGAGAAGGCACTATATATACGACATTACACATGATGAACGACTTCCAACTCAACGACGTCTACGTAGGGGTGGACGCAATGGCGAGGTGAACTGAATATCGAGGGCCTGGATATCGCTTCGATATCTCTGCTGGTCAAGTTAAGGCAGCGATTTCAACTGATTGAAGTGAATATTTTACGGCATCTTACATAAATTCCAATCCGACACAGTTCGGCTTCATGTGCCTCACAGTTGCAGTCTCTGAAATGATTTGGTTGGTTGGTTTGTTGTTCAACGCCACATTCAGCAATATTCCAGCTATATGACGCCGGTCTGTAAATAATCGAGTCTGGACCAGACAATCCAGTGATTGACATCATGAGGATCAATCCACACAATTGGGACACGATGACATGCATCAACCAAGTCAGCGTGCCTGACCACCCGATCCCGTTACTCGCCTTTTACGGCAAGCATTGGTTGCTGGAGACCTATTCTAAATCCTCTGAAACGAAAATGTTTTACTGAAGAAAAAGGTTGTTAAATTATCTTAATACAATATTTTTAAAAAAGGAGCCAAGAAACTCTCTTCATTCTCAGAACGTAATAATTTACAGAAAAAAACGTTGTTAAATTATTTTTATGCACTATGACAAAAAGAGAAAGAAACTGCAGACATTTAGACTTGCCAAGTCTTTTAGACTTGCATGGGCTGTATTGGATATATTTGTTTCAGGTTCTGTGTGACAGACTAAGTTGCTGGAAGAGCATACTTTGTAAACAATCATTTAGGTAACTCAACCATTTCAGAGCCGCTGAACTGAAAAAATAAACTCAATTAAAAAATAAATTCTGCCATCATGGGCGGGAAGATGGACGTTGGTAGGACGTTAGATGCTAGTCTGCTATCATTAGCGGGCAGATGGACGTTGGTTGGAGGTTAGATGTTAGTCTGCTATCATTAGCGGGCAGATGGACGTTGGTTGGAGGTTAGATGTTAGTCTGCTATCGTGGGCGGGAAGATGGACGTTGGTGGGAGGTTAGATGTTAGTCTGCTATCGTGGGCGGGAAGATGGACGTTGGTGCGAGGTTAGATGTTAGTCTGCTATCATTAGCGGGCAGATGGACGTTGGTTGGAGGTTAGATGTTAGTCTGCTATCGTGGGCGGGAAGATCGACGTTGGTGGGAGGTTAGATGTTGGTCTGCTATCGTGGGCGGGAAGATGGACGTTGGTTGGAGGCTAGATGTTAGTCTGCTATCGGGGACGGGAAGATGGACGTTGGTTGGAGGTTAGATGTTAGTCTGCTATCGTGGGCGGGAAGATGGACGTTGGTGGGAGGTTAGATGCTAGTCTGCTATCATTAGCGGGCAGATGGACGTTGGTTGGAGGCTAGATGTTAATCTGCTATCGTGGGCGGGAAGATGGACGTTGGTGGGAGGTTAGATGCTAGTCTGCTATCATTAGCGGGCAGATGGACGTTGGTTGGAGGCTAGATGTTAGTCTGCTATCGGGGACGGGAAGATGGACGTTGGTGGGAGGTTAGATGTTAGTCTGCTATCGTGGGCGGGAAGATGGACGTTGGTGGGAGGTTAGATGCTAGTCTGCTATCATTAGCGGGCAGATGGACGTTGGTTGGAGGCTAGATGTTAATCTGCTATCGTGGGCGGGAAGATGGACGTTGGTGGGAGGTTAGATGCTAGTCTGCTATCATTAGCGGGCAGATGGACGTTGTTTAGAGGCTAGATGTTAGTCTGCTATCGGGGACGGGAAGATGGACGTTGGTGGGAGGTTAGATGCTAGTCTGCTATCATTAGCGGGCAGATGGACGTTGGTTGGAGGCTAGATGTTAATCTGCTATCGTGGGCGGGAAGATGGACGTTGGTGGGAGGTTAGATGCTAGTCTGCTATCATTAGCGGGCAGATGGACGTTGTTTGGAGGCTAGATGTTAGTCTGCTATCGGGGACGGGAAGATGGACGTTGGTGGGAGGTTAGATGCTAGTCTGCTATCATTAGCGGGCAGATGGACGTTGGTTGGAGGCTAGATGTTAATCTGCTATCGTGGGCGGGAAGATCGACGTTGGTGGGAGGTTAGATGCTAGTCTGCTATCATTAGCGGGCAGATGGACGTTGTTTGGAGGCTAGATGTTAGTCTGCTATCGGGGACGGGAAGATGGACGTTGGTGGGAGGTTAGATGTTAGTCTGCTATCATTAGCGGGCAGATGGACGTTGGTGGGAGGTTAGATGTTGGTCTGCTATCGTGGGCGGGAAGATGGACGTTGGTGGGAGGTTAGATGTTAATCTGCTATCATGGGCGGGAAGATGGACGTTGGTGGGAGGTTAGATGCTAGTCTGCTATCGTGGGCGGGAAGATGGACGTTGGTGGGAGGTGAGATGTTAGTCTGCTATCGTGGGCGGGAAGATGGACGTTGGTGGGAGGTGAGATGTTAGTCTGCTATCGTGGGCGGGAAGATGGACGTTGGTGGGAGGTTAGATGCTAGTCTGCCATCATGGGCGGGAAGATGGACGTTGGTGGGAGGTTAGATGTTTGTCTCTATGATGGGCGGGTAGGCAAAGGACACAAAGGTGAGTTAGAGTTTGCTCTGATTTCATGTTTTTGTGAGGGGAAGGCCACCAAAGTGAGTTGTGTTTTACACTGCTTTCATTGTGTGGTGTCATCTCAGCATCACTTATTGATGCCTTAACTTGTTGTGTAATGTCCCTAGGCTTCACCCGAGTGATTGTGGTGCTACTGGTTCTGTGCAAAGCATACAGCTCACCAATCAGGAGAAAGAAAGCAATGGTGACCATCATGTTGGTCCTGAGAGTTTCTCGGGCTTTGGTCCTGCTTTGGTCATGTTACATGTGGGGTCTCCTTAGGTAAGTGACTTTGTTAATATATTTCTCTGTTTACCCAGTTGTGAATGGGTAGGATAAGATTGTGATGTGATTGTTTATCTTCTAGCACCTCACAGGCATCTTTCTTAGTACAGTCCCGCTCAGAAGGAGATTTGAGGGCACGCTCATCCATTTCCAGGAGTTATAATGGTTGCTTTGATGTTTTAGGCCTCACTCAGCAGTATTCCAGCTATATGACGGCGGTCTGTAAATAATCGAGTCTGGACCTGATCAATCCAGTGATTGATATCATGAGCATCGATCCACGCAATTGGGATCGATGACATGCTTCAACCAAGTCAGCAAGCCTGACCACCCGATCCCGTTAGTCGCCTTTTACGACAAGCAAAAGGTCTTGTGGTTTCAGAATACACGTGTAACGAGTGTAGCGACAACATAATGAGCCCTATTATTCTTTTTAACTTATCTCCACAACAGGAATTAATCTAAATAATAATGGATCTAAGGAGCTCCGATTTCTAAATCCAAAGTGACTTGAATTCTATGGCTGACATAACTCTTCACAGCTTATGGATCAATTTCCAACAAGAATTCAATGTGGAAAGCAAATTTCTTTCTCCTAGACTTTCCAGATTTTAACTTGTCTTGGATTATCAGGAGAGTAATACAACTAAACTCACTCACTAACATCTACGAATAGTTGTTGCAACAAAGTATCTTTGTGGAACGAAGCCCTAAACGCAAGAATGCCAAGGTTTGACCATGCAAGGAATCATGTTCAGCACTTGTGTGACACCATCTACTTACCAATGTATCTCTTACAGACCGCTATCGTATAGCTCGAATATTGCTGAGTGCGGTGTTAAACAACAAACAAAAAAACATGCTTGACCTAAGAGTCAGGTAATGGGCATTGGGGGGAATAACAGTTTGAGGTCAAGTTCCAGCGACCTAAGATTACTTTGAGAAAATGGTCCTGGATGAACTGTAATTATTGTGACCCCAAGGATATCTAATCTTTCACCAGGCAGTAAACAACTGGAATGACTGCCTCATCATTTACAGGGTGCAAAGGTGGGTCTATGATCTAAAAGTCCCAAAGTTAATGAGAACACAGAGAGATTGAGATGGAGGATCCAGCAGTGGGCAGCCGTGATATAGTAGGAATATGTGGTGGCACATGGTCTGCGTACAGCACACAGATCACAGGTGAAGATAAGCAACACATGTTGCCGAGGTGGTGAGGTGAGGTGGGGTGAAATGGGGTTTAATGTCGCGTCCAAGATTATTGCACTTATAGAGTGACGTGCATGTACGTGTGTTTGTTTGTGTGGCTGCTTGTTCTAGTCTGGACTAATGCCGATTTATAGTGCTAGCTCACTGAGATACCATGCTGCAGTTTAACATGAATATCCCACTCGACCAGTCCTTGTTTTAACCCCTTAATGCCAAGTGCCAGACAGGGTAACAACAAGTACCATCTTTTAACGTCTTTTGGTATGACATGGTTGGGATCAAACACCGGACCTTCCGCTCTCCGGGCGACGCTCTACCACTAGACCACGGAGGCGGTCTGGTTGCTGAGAGGAGATGGATGGGTGACTGTCCACCAAGCCTGTCGCCCAAGAGTTTCTTAAGGCGTATCCAACACTGAAGCAGATGTTACATGTGGTGTCTCCTTAGGCAGGTGGCTTTGTTCAAAATATGCCTCAATTCACACAGCAGTGAATGGGTACCTTGCAGTATGAGATGGTAATATGATGGTTAACTTCTAGCACCTCAAAGGCAGCTTGAATTGTATACTCCTCAGGGAGCTCGGAATGAATGACAGTTGTGCCAGTCAGCAGTAAAGTGTATTAAAACAATCTGCACAGTATAACCTGTCTGAGATAAATCTATGGATGATAGACAGTGCTATTTCTTTTTAAAGAATAAGTTGTAGGTTATGAGTGACACAATTTATTCATGAAGTAAAATGAGTTAACATCCAATGGACATGACACATGATCATTGTTGACATATCTAAAATCTCATTACAAGAAATAATAAATTCCATGACCAAAATTTCTTATAATATCCTTAAAAGAGAAAAGAAAATGAAATTGAAATGTAACATTCATCAAAGGTAAGATACAATTTCTTCATAATATTAAAACCTGGTTGTCTAAACATGGATTGAATTGAAAGCACATCTTCTTTTATCCCAATACCTGACAAACTTTTAGAAATTTTAGTATGGACGCCGTGGCCTTGAAGGGATAGGGCCTTGTCTTGGTGGTGTGATTGCAATGTCCAAAAAATCGCCAATTTGAAACTTCTTTGATGCCAGCGTTACTGTGTCATCAGCAGATTTTCTCCCTGAACATGTGGTGCCGATTTCTCGTAGACGGTGTGTCGGGGACCGAGGATCTGGATAAACGATGGCGAAGTCGAAGAAAGTTCCTTTTCTTCTTGCATCTGGGTTGACCTCCTTCACCAGACTGGTCAGTTCCTTCAGCGTGGCATCCATCCTGTAATCACAGAAGTTAGAAGTGGTAAGTCTATACAATAGGTCAAGAATCCAGGATCAAAACAGCCCAGTAAGGCAACATACAAATTGTAAAAAGTGAACATTAAATTGTATACGTGTATTAATATACTATCCTTTCTCACACTATGCATTTCTTCCTCCTTTCGATCCTTATGTGGAAATGTGCTTGAACAAAGTTTTCAGCTTTAAAAAACATTTCACCCAAACACATCCCTGTATCACCATGGTCACCACCCCATCACATTGGGTCACACACTGTAATCCTTTGCGTTCTTACTTTCCACGACATGATCACCCGACTACCCCTGCCACCTCAAGACAGACGATGCGTACATTAGTGATAAAATTGAAATCAGTGACTATATAATGTTTGGTTTAACACCGCTTTTTAGCAGTATTTCAGTTGCAACACAGTGTGTCAGCTTGACGTGAGAGGCAAGTCTGAAGTGATGTGGGGCTTAGAGATTTACCACTTTGGTGAAAACAACAAGCCCATATGGGGTCCAATTTACATTTGTAAATACAAAATAAAAATTCTAAGATGCATCTTTTTCCTTGTCTATGTCCTTGGTGTGTTCTAAATACACAAAATACACAAAATACACAAAATACACAAAATACACAAAAACCTAAAAACCTCATTTCCATGAAAAAAAATTTAAAGCTTTTTCAAATTATTTGTTTGGTTCTATTTTATTTGTTTACTGAAGCTCATTTGAGACATTAGTTTCATGTCATAATAAAATGGAGATTGCTCCAGTCTAGAGTATGGGGTTGACAAACCTAGAAATATAATCAGGGTGAATCTGGTATTCAGACCCACAATCATAGGATTCTGGCATGCCGAAAGCATGGCACTTAGACAACTGGGCCAACCATGCCCCACAACTGTAGGAGTAAGCATCCTTTTTTGAATTAACCATAACATTCCATATGTAATCTCAAACTTTGATAACATTCTATTTACAGTGCAAAATAAACTCAACAGATTTGGAGTAAATATTTCAAATGTTTGGACTGCTTATCATGCTTTGATGAAATAGAATCCCAAAGCTTTTTTGTTAACTCTTTTTGACACTACCTTAGGGCCAGTTTCTGATGTTATTATTTGTATATCAGCCAAAATATAGCTGCCAAATGCTCATCTTGTCAGTTGTCATGAACACTGAGTGCTATGAATCTTCAAGGACAAACAGTGCATGAGTTAGTTACAAAGGCGTTCTGGAATTTGCATAAAAGCAGGCAGTTCACACAATAAGTACAAAGTAAGGAAAATGACATTCTAGTTGAGTCACAGCAGAGCTACCCCCCTTGGTAATATGTCCTCTTCAAATAATTTGTAAAGACAATTGTGACTGCGACCAGTGAGACTGCGACCAGTGAAACTTTCGACCAAGGAGTGAGTGAGTTGGGTTTAACGCCACTTTTAACATTATTCCAGTTATATCAAGGCGTGTCAGCTTAATGTGGGAGGAAAGCCCGAAGGGATGCAGGTCTAAGACGTTTACCACTTCGGTGAAACCCACGAGCATGGGTATTGTGCTGACTAACCTAGAAACATATTTCGGGCGAACCGGGATTTAAACCCACAATCATAGGTTTCTGTTGTACCCAAGGGACGCAACTCTGCACAGCGAATCACGGCGCCTTAGATGACTGGGCCACCCGTGCCCCCTTGACCAGTGAGACTGTGGCCAGTGAGACTGCGACCAGCGAGTGCTCCGACCAGTGAGACTTGACCAGCGAGTGCTCCAACCAGTGAGACTTGACCAGCGAGTGCTCCAACCAGTGAGACTTGACCAGCGAGTGCTCCAACCAGTGAGAATGCGACCAGCGAGTGCTCCAACCAGTGAGACTGCGACCAGAGAGTGCTCCAACCAGTGAGACTTGACCAGCGAGTGCTCCAACCAGTGAGACTTGACCAGCGAGTGCTCCAACCAGTGAGAATGCGACCAGCGAGTGCTCCAACCAGTGAGACTGCGACCAGAGAGTGCTCCAACCAGTGAGACTTGACCAGCGAGTGCTCCAACCAGTGAGACTTGACCAGCGAGTGCTCCAACCAGTGAGACTTGACCAGCGAGTGCTCCAACCAGTGAGACTTGACCAGCGAGTGCTCCAACCAGTGAGACTTGACCAGCGAGTGCTCCAACCAGTGAGAATGCGACCAGCGAGTGCTCCAACCAGTGAGACTGCGACCAGAGAGTGCTCCAACCAGTGAGACTTGACCAGCGAGTGCTCCAACCAGTAAGACTGAGACCCGTGAGACTTCGACCAGCGAGACTCTGACCTGTGGGACCCCGACAAGTGAGTGCTGCAACCAGTGAGATTTCGACTCTGACCTGTGAGACCAGTTAGAATTGATATTCAGAAACCCATGCTTGTTGTGAGAGGCGACTAACGGGATCAGGTGGTGACTAGGTGACTAGACTCGGTGACTGGGTTCAGCAACCCATGCTTGCCGTGAAAGGCGACTATGCTTGTCTGGGAAGCAACTAACGGGATCGGGTGGTCAGACTCGCTAACTTGGTTGATGCATGTCATTGTGTCCCAATTGCGTGGATTGATGCTCATGATGTCAATCATTTGATTGTCTGGTCCAAATTCAGTTACTTACAGCTGGAATATTGATAAGTGCAGTGTTAAACAAAAAACAAACGAAACAAATATAGTCCACTGCAATGTGATTTGGATATTGTTGAGTACAATCAAACAGCTTGGTTGTACATAATGACCGAGTATGGCTGTTAACGTACCATGTGTAGATCTGCAGCTCGTTGGTTGGCGTGTTGCCCCGGGAGAACTCACTGAGAGGATGATGGCGTCCAGTGCTGCAGAATACTCTCAAGAGGAGGGGGCATGTCTGGAACAAGAGCAAGTCAGTCCCTTAGTCTTTGTGCCCTGGGAACAGTACTCACAATTATAGCTTTATCATTATTATTATTGCAATACTTTGGTTAGAATGTTTTAGAATTCAGATTGCGGAATGATGCCCAAACATTTAACATGCAATTCAAACATAATTTTTTTTATAAATCTTACATTAAAAAAACATTGAATTATATACGTCTCACTCTTAAACATTCTTGTGGTATTATGACTATATGAACCATGTATGCATCTAACAATAAACAGAATCATTCTTGTTCCTCTACATTATTGTCGGGAAGTTCTTCAATGTGAAACAGACTTTTTGTCTTTTTGTTTGTAGGCATGTACATGTTACAGTCAATGTGCAAAATGTGAATCATTTAGGCAATTTATAAAAAGTCTAAATATCATTTTAAAAAACAGACTAAAAAATCAGTCCATTTATTTAACAGTTTGACTATGAATTATCAAGAAGTTCAAAAGGGCTTGGAAACATAACAATAAGCTAATTGTGCTTGGATTAGAAGCCAGAAAATATAGACATGTTCTTTCGTTTTCTTTTAATCCTATCATCTTCAGTCATTGGGTTATAAAATTAAGACCGCCTCCGTGGACTAGTGGTAGAACGTCCACACGGAGAGCGGAAGGTCCGAAGGTTTGATCCCTGGCCCTGGTTTGTTATACCAAAAGATGTTAAAAGATGGCACTTGTTGTTACCCTGTCTGGCGCTCGACATTAAGGGGCTAAAACAAGGACTGGTCGCCTCCGGAATCAGTATACTGTGTCTGAGTGAGGTATTCATGCTAAACTGCAGCATGGTATCTCAGTGGGCTAGCACTGTTAATTGGCATCAGTCCGGACTAGTGCAAGCAGGCACACACACACACACACGTCCCTATATAAGTGCAACAATCTTGGACACCACGTTAAACCCCATTTCCTCTCATTAAAATTAAACATACAGATTACTGAAATTTCTTATCATAAAATCAATGGACAGATTTATCAGCCATTCTGAAAATAAGTGAATGTTTAGTCGTTTATGAATTGCTTTTGTGAAATTTTACATATTGACTGTAACATATACACATGATAAAAAAAGCAATGCTCGGGTGAAATCTTTAGTTTGTGTTACAAGTAAAAAAAGTGTAAACGAAACTCGCACAATACCAAGCAAGTGACCTCTCTCAACTTTGTCACCATTACCGATGCTACCCCCTATGAAGATACCTACATTTCCTAATTAATTTCCTTTTGTTGGACAATGTGACCATACCCATTTATCAATAAAAATGAACTGGTACAGATTTCAGGGATATCATACGGTTATCCATGGGGGAAACACAGGCAACTACCTGTCCCGGTGAATTGTCAGAGATCAGTGTCCCTTTAATCTCATATGTTTCTACTGTTGTTAATGGTAATAAGACAACTGACATACAGCAAAAAGTTGAATGTTCTAATACATATTGTATTGATATTAAAAAACAAAAACCAATGTCAATATTGACATAGTTGACAAGTATCCCTGTGTTTGCGGATGCTCAAGAAACTTGCGAGTTTTTTCTCTGATCACAAGAACAGCTGTAAAACATCTCACTCAGTTAAAAAAGATGGTTTTATCTTAAAAACAGGCCATCATCTGAGTATTTACAATGTCTGTGTGACGCCACACCCCTTGCTATAGTGCTTGTTATTGCAATAACATGGCCGTCCAAAAACCTAAGATCTGACAATACTTCATTTATAACCAACTACATGAGGACTGAGCAGTAACATAAAATACACAATTGTAAACTATCATATACCGGTACATCACAAAAGAGTGACTACAGTAACAATATAGATATCAATAGATATTGTTCATAGACATATAGGTTTAAATGGAATAACTTCAGTAACAAAGAAAATTGTATCCTTACATATGGCAAGTTACAACATTCATAATGACAATAATTTAAAATATCTTGATAAATATGTTATCAGCTGATAATACAGGGATGGACACATTCACTAGTCTGTCAGTCCTAGACAAGGGAAAACCTAAGAGGGACTAGTTATTTTATGAGTCAGAATGAGCTGTAGACTGGCTGGATATGGCAAGTGGTGTCTAGTACACTACCCCTGTAATATCTAATGATATACACATCTAAAAGAAAATCATTACTTCCCCTGTTCCTGGTACACCGGACTGTTACCGAGCATGGCTGCCTTTCTCCTAAAGTAATTTCACGCTTACCATTGCGATCTAAAGTCTTGAGGGACTTGACAATCTTGGGTTTTCACGGTTGTGTGTTCCTACTTCAGAACTTTACAATTATCAGTCTCAGCGTTCGGGTTGTTCACAGGGTTTTACAATTAAAACACAAATAAAATAATTTATGGTCCAGATGTATGACGATTAATGTGTGTTACTCCCATACACTTTGATCAAAGACAGGTTTCTGAAGCCATGGTGTTTTTATTGTAAACTGCTTGTGTGCTCCTACCATCATTGTGTCGGAACGAAAACTGGACACAGTACACTTCTTACTTGTTTGTTGTCAATACCTTCACCCACCTAAGAATGTGGAATAACATAAATAAAAAATAAAGGTACTTTTTCTCTGTCTATCGGTTTCTCTGGATCTTTGTTATCCTCTACAACGAGAGACTCAACGGTGTTTGCGTTCGACCTCATGCCCTCGCCAAACCGAAATGCCATTTTGTTGAAGGGAAGTAACTCGTGTCAGGCATTTTGAACATACTCATAGGATCTTTGTTATCATGTGACGAACGTTAATGTTGATTCAATCCGTAAACTGCCGTAAAGGCCCGATATCGTCCGAAAGTAACATCCCGGTGTAAAGCAAATTTTCCGCCCATGACAAAATGGATATTGTTTCATGCAAATTGCTGCGAATGAAACGAATGTGTATTATATAGTCAGAGGTCAGAGACCAAATACCGATATAGTCTATTACCGCGATCACACTGTGATAATCTCTGATAATCACGATTTAGTTCCCTTTGGCAAACTCTCTCTCTCTCTCTCTCTCTCTCTCTCTCTCTCTCTCTCTCTCTCTCTCTCTCTCTCTCTCTGTGTACATACATCCAAATAAAAAATAATTATTAATATGACTTTTTTGAAATTCGTTTGCTACCACGATATTTTCGCATCATATATGTGTAACTGAATTATTTGATGACAGTTTCCAGAATTCTGAAGCCACAGATACTGTGTATACATTGGCAAATCTCCAATCGTGTTCATAAAATGAGTAAGTAAATTTATTCTACTCAAGATAAGAAAACGTACAACTTTATATGGGGAACAGCTTTTGGTTTATTGCAAGCAGAAGGTGTTATCCATGAAGCTGTACGTTTTCTTATTTACTCACCAACAGTTACTTACTTACTTTGGAGATTTAACGTGCGCTTTCCGACTGATGCGTATTTCGCACACGGGCCCGGCCAGGCCATTTAATGTGTTTCCGAAAGGGGCGAAAGTGGTGTGTGCAACCCAAGAGGGGGCTTTAGGGGTTGCTTATATAGAATTTGGGAATTTTGAGATTTGGAATAGATGCCGATGGGGTAGGGGAGGAGAACTAAGGGAGCTGGGTATGGTGGATGTTTGTGTGTTTATGTAATTTTGATTTGGTGGATTATAGTGTTTTTAGATGCGTTTTATTAGTTCCGTTTTGATTAAGAATACGCCTAAGGCCTTGAAGTTTTCTAGTTTATTTTGTGGGTTTAGTATTGCCTCTAGAGTGAGAGCCTTGGTTAGATTGAGGGTGGTTTGTAATACGGTTCGATGTGTTAGGTAGTGTGTGCAGTAGATGAGTGCGTGTTCTGGGGTTTCTAGTTGTTTGCAGTGTGGGCAGTTACCTGTAGTATGTTTTTTAATTTTTTTAGGTGGTTATTTAGGTTGGTGTGTCCTGTTTGGAGTTTAGTGATTACTCTGTCGATTTTTTTGGATGGATGGTGACTCACCAACAGTTATTCTACTCTGTATATACACACACGCACGCACACATCAGTGCCAGCGAGAGCTAGGGTAAGTGATTTTAGCAATTAATGTTAACTGCTGTTGAGGCTGTGTATTCAATTAGTCGCCCAATTAGTCTCTGATTATTTAATTAGACTAAGGGTATAATATGTGATATGGAACTGTGATATTGAACTGTGTAATCACTTGTGTAGTGCTGAATTAGTGCTGATTTAAGAACTGTGTGCATATGTGTTATGAACTGTTATACAAGTTATATAATACAATTAATGTCACACAATACTTGAGTTTGTCCTTTTTTTTTCTGTGTGGACATTATGACATTTTGTGTGTGTCCGTATGACTTTTTTGTGACCGTTTTGAGTTTCTATGTGGCCGTTTTGACTTTACCTTTTGAACCCTTCTGACATCGCGCCGTTTTGACCCGCTCCCATATGACGGCGGTCTGTAAGTAATCGAGTTTGGACCAGAAAATCCAGTCACTGACACCATGAGCATCAATCCACGCAATGGGGACACGGTGACATGCATTAACCAAGTCAGCGAGCCTGACCACCCGATCCCGTTAGTCGTCTCTAACGACATGCATAGGTTGCTGAAGATATATTCTACCACGGATCTTCACAGGTGGATGTTGTAACTCGTCACGTATAGAAAGAATGGAACGCACGTACAGCAGGATATTTGGTAATACATTATGCGGCCTTATAAATTCAATTTTGGCTATATAACATAAATTTCGCTAAAACGATTGATAATATTGTATCGCTGGCGAGAAAAGATTTATACAGCTTCTCAAAAAGGAGGATAACTCAACTCTATAATTTTAACAATTCCTCCCACATCACTATATATCTATCCACTGGAAGACGCCCCATAACAGATACACCAAGCTCCTCACAGCGATAGCCCGTTCGCGGAGCTCTCTATACTATCGCGATGTTACCGAGGGTGTAACGAAGGTGTCACGCGCTGGGAAGGAGCTTGAGATACACACGTGATGGGGACGTAATTCTGTCTTGAAGGCACGGTAAGCTGGGCCCCGTCTCTCATATCGCAAGACGCGCATAGGGAGCCGGGAAGCAGCTTACTAAGCAGGGTTTTGTTTCCGCATATTATGATAAGAACCAAGTTTAGGTACGGAATCGCTATTTACTATTTTATTCAAATAATATGAATTTCAAACTGTGACCTGATTTCATGTCGAATATAGTGCGCGTACATCATTTTGTTGAAATTTAAATGCATTTTGCGTACACATCCGCTGGTAGGACCGGATATGGAACATTATATTTCACGGGCGACATTTTCCCTTAACACCTATCATGACTGTTTCGTGATATATTTCGTAAAAACGTGTAAAATGTATTGGAAATAAGGGAAATATTTTTGTAGGGATGCACAGTCATGTGTAATCTATGAGAGACTATTATTAGAAGTAGTAATTATTCCATTTAGCCGCACATGAATGACTAAAAGTTAAAACCATTTTACAAATGGCTGGGAGTTGCGGCGTGCTCCTGTAATCTAGCTACTTGGAGGCCTGGTGTGGGGACGGTTTGAGGGCGGGGGTACTGTACTCAGGCGTGCTATGTCGATCGGGTGTCCGCGCTAAGCCCGGCATCAATATGGTGACATCGGAGGAGTCTGATATCACCAGGTTGTCTAAGGAGGGACGAACCGGCCCAGGGCAGAAATGCAGCAGGCAAAAGTCCCCGTGTCGCGCAGTAGTGGGATCGCACCCGTGAATAGGCGTCTGTGGATAGCCCGTCCAATACAGTTGGACTCATACCTTTTTTAATTTTTTGAAGTGGGTGCGTTTTATTGGAAACATCTGTGTTAAATATGCGACCTTATATATATATATATATATATATATTTTTTATGAAATCACGCATTTTCTGAAGTCAGTGTGGCAAATTAAACTTTTTTAACACATACAGGAGTCTTTTATCTGTTGTAAACCGAAATTGTTTCAGATTTATTAAAAAACATAACTTTGCATTAAATTTTATTCAATGTCACAGGAACTTTAGTTGTTCAGTATAGTATATAAAGGAGTATTATTATACCAACTAAACATATATACATATTATAAATACCACAATGAAGTGCTACCATAATATTGCTTATAATACAGGATTGATAAAATATATCTTATATCTTACAGAAAACAGTTACAGAACAAGAATTACTTGCCAGCATATTGACTAGAATACAGAAAGCAAATGATATACACATTCATACAAGTAAAATGGCAGATTGTATATGATATGCATATGAACTTACATTAGGTTCATCATGAAATTATTTATACCTAATTTTTGCAATGATTCAAATCAGCTTTTAGATTATAATCTTATAATAACTAAAATGTATATTAACTAACCTTTGAGTTTGATAATTCTTAATATTGATTACAGTCCTCGTGCAGTGACAGTGTGTTGCAACTAATTAGTAACATGGCGGGTGACATGTAAATTTGAAACAGGACCAAGCAACGGGAGAAATTTGGTCTGGGCTATTGTTAAGACACTAAAGACAATGCCATCAAAATAGATAAACCCAAATAAACCTTAACAACATGTAAACCTAATATGAACCAGCCCTGTGACACAGAACTGTACAGCAAACACAAAGAAAAGATACAACCGGACTGACAACTAATTGTAACTATTAGATCTTGTCAAGCAGGAAACGTTCAGCTCACAAGGGAAAGGGCGGGCATATTGTCTGCCTGCAGATTAATATGCTAATATCGACGAAGAATACAGATAGAAATGCTGTACATGAAAACGTGACAAATAAAAAGATTATGTGATAGACCAGAAATCAAAACCAATAAGTGGAAGTAATGTGCGTTTAAGAATATCAGTGAATGTGATGAACTTGAAACATACTTTTTGATAGTGGAAGACATGCTGGAACGATTAAGCTCAGATGTTATAGTTTGGAATGATGTTAAAATCTTCGATTTCAACCAGGTCACCGAGCCTGATCACCCAGTCTATTTGGCCGGCTCTTACGACCAGCACAGGTTGTTGAGGACCATCACTAATCTGGCATCACCAGAAGGAGCGTTTGATGAGACCGGGATCGCTCACAATGATCCCGAGAGCAAACAAGAATCCATGGAGTGGAAACAATTCGGTTCTCCCAAACCTAAGACGTTTAAAGTTGAAAAAAACCCTGTATGGTAAGTGACTAAACAAAAAAAACAACTTGCATGTTAAGGTTTGTATGTTTGTTTTTTAACGCTGCACTCAGCAATATTCCAGCTATATGACGGCGGTCTGTAAATAATTGAGTCTGGACCATAAAATCCAGTGGTTGATATCATGAGCATCGATCCACGCAATTGGGATCGATGACATGCATCAACCAAGTCAGCGAGCCTGTTCACCCGATCCCGTTAGTCGCCTCTTACGATAAGCATAGTCGCCTTTTACGGCAAGCATGGGTTGCTGAAGACCTATTCTACCCATGTTAAGGGATTTAACGAGAAATAACTTGCATGGTAAGCAATTTAACGATAAAAACCTCGCATGGTAAGGAATGTAATAAATAAAACCTTGCATGGTAAGGGACTTAACGAAAAAAAATACTTGCATCGTGAGGGGTTTAAAGAAAAAAATGTCATGGTAAGGTATTTAACGAAAAAAAACCGTGAGTGGTAAGAGAATTAACCAAAAAAACGAACTTGCATGGTAAGGGATTTAACGAGACCCAAGAATTGGTTGTTGCTGTTGAGTGAGTGAGTTAAT